TGGTTAACTATTAGTGGATTTTCTGGTTTTTCCAAAAATATCGCACACTGTACAGGGTGTTAGTAATTGGAGTGTTATTAACAAGAAAAACTTATTTCTGAACTAGATAGAGCAAAATCGACTTACATGTCAAGGCTCGAGTTTTGAGAAACATTCAAAGTTAAACTTAAAATGTTTCTACAGTTCTCCGTTTTCTCATTAATGAATACCACCTTATTTTATATGGCAGTCATAGGTGGCTACGGTCTTAAACAAATGCGTGTGGCGAGCCCTTTTCAGCCATAGAGATTTGTTGATTTGTTGAAGGAAATATAGGGCATTTTTTGTTTATGCATTAGTAGGTTGCGCATGATTGTCAGTTAAGGAAAGCTTTAATTCTTTGACATGATAAACTGTTACACTTTGTCAAACGGACATTCGGTGGTAGCCAATGAACTTTATTTCAATACATATCCAGAGCGACACCAACTAGACAAGCGAATATTTCGGAAGTTAAAAAATAATTTACGGAAGTTTCAAAAAGCCAATGCAAAATTAAAACCACTTAAATGGAGAACAGGAAATCCGTGATTGGAATATAATTGGAGAAATATTAGAAAATGCAACAAATCCTCACAGGCACTAGCAGACGCGACAAATGCTGGAAAAACTAAAGGTTTGACTACTTGAAAAAAAACAAATTCGAGCCATATCGCGCCAGAAATGTCTACCAATGAACATGAAGGGCATGTCGGTAAAAGGATATAATTTTGCAACTGGTTTATCGGAAAATACAGTATTTGGAGTGATAAAGCAAAAATTGACTGTTCCGGAATATTTAACAGATACAATTCTTATCGCTGGAGCACAAAAATCCTCATGCTGTAGTGTATCAAAATAAGCAAGGTCACTTTGGATTTAATGTATGGGTAGGAATTTACCGAGGTAGATTTGTGGGAGCTTATTTTTTTAATGAAAATCTGACAACGGATGGAAAACTTGCCATTAATTCTTGGAAGGAGTATTTATATCAGCAAGATGGTTGCCACGCTCACAATACACTGATTGTAAGTGAATTTTTAAATGAAGAGTTTGGATAATGGAGATCGTGTGATATAACTCCTCTATGTTTTTTTTTATTGGGGAGATTAGAAGATCTCATATTTGAAGATAAAGGAAGAAAGCCGCTCGAGAAGCGTTTGCTTCCATCAATCCCATAGAGTTAGTGAATAGTTGCCATTCAGTACGAAAAATGTTGGCCCAATTTAAACATTTGCGATAATGTAAAAGGTTAAATTTTAATATTTTGTATTCTAATATTTATTGCGTTTTGTTTATTATGTTAAAATAACTATAATTTCGTGTTCGAAATAAACAAAAATATTAAAATTAAATTTTAAAAATAATATCTAAAATATTAAATAGTTAACGGTTTCGTGTTTTTCACTTGAGTTGTTTTAAATTGGCCTTATTTTTTTAATGTTCCAGTTTCGTCTTTTTTAATATATTATGCACGGCCTACTAATACATAAAGAAAAAATGCCCTATAGTTCCGCCATTGTTCACCACAGATACAAAGAAATCTATCTGCCCACTATGATTGCCGTATAAAATAAGAAAGTTGTATTCATTGATGAGAAAACGGAGAACTGCGGACAAAATCTGAGTACGCCACTGTATTTGCCTTGAAAAAGGGCCGAAAATTGAAAAGCGCCCTATATCTCTGTTGGTAGTGAGGATATCGCCATGCGCTTTTAACCATTAACTGTCGATCGATCGAAAGTCGATTTTGCTCTATCTAGTTCAGAAATAGGTTTTAACTATTACGACCACAGAGACTATTCTGATTGATCTTGAAACTTTATATTACATCAGTCTTTCTAGAAAGTATTTTTTTGTGATTATTGGTTGTATGTTCTACCTCTGTTGCAGTCTAGTTGTTATTGTTATTATTTGATGTATTGTAAGGTTTTATTTTATTTATGGCAATTGGTACTTGATAAATTTTGAACATTTAATAAACGTGTTAGCGTTTAGCGCTGTCCATTACTTTAAATTATTTTAATCTTTTTTTACTGCGTTAAATTTTTCAGCTATAATAAAAAATTTATATATATTTAAATGGCCTGTTTAAACCTGAGCGCTTTTGCATTTCAATAATTTTATGGCAAACGGCATTAATCATTTCGCATTAAATGAAATAATAATTAAAGGTTACATATAAAGAATCACAATGTGGCGTATAAATTAGGCCAGCTTGCGGGAATGCAGGCAGCTTTTAGATTCCATCGAACGAAAACCGAAATAAATAAATCAATTAATGATGCTAATTAATTTAGTTTTTCTGATATCGAGAAGAAACTTGCACAATGTTTGTTAAAATTAATATTTATACGGCGTTTAAAGTAAATACTTCGCATCGAATTAAAGTTTATAAACCAGTAAATCTTGATAATTGATATCAATTAGCCACGTCGGTGAATAAAAAGTGACACAAACATTCCTTTGTAAAAAGCTAATGACAAATTACTATTCCGGATGAAGACGAAAATACTCGTTACAATGGAGTTACTTGATAATCTAGTTTCTTCATACCTCACTGTTAAAATCAGAGATAAGTAAGCTCTTCGCACACCCTTGGAAAATACCTTTATTAAATCGTCCAAATACGGAAAATAGTTTTTGCAATTTGCAAGTAAGAACATTTGGCTATAAAAATCCTCTTTTTATATATTCCATAAATGACTCCCACAAATAGGTAGGAATAGGTATCGTTAAATACTTTAACAATTCTTTTTATTGCATATTGTATTATTTCATAACTTCAAATTCTTGAGCCCTGCATATACCACAAGGTGCATATTAAAATATTAATATTGTTAATGGTGAAGAAATAATATCTGACAAAGAACCAGAAATTATTTGCCAAAACGTGCGTAACAAAAAAAAACAAATTAATAACTTAATTTTATTATAAGTACTCACATGGTCCTATTCTTAGAGACTCAAGTAATGTCTGACTCGGGCAAAACTTTTGGATCACACAACGGCTTTGCTTATCTAGCCCCGTCTCTGGAGTAATAAAAAGTTTTGGTGAGCATCCAACAAATCTCCAAAACATTACTTAGCTAGGAACAACAAAGCAACTAAAATCATCTGCCAAAACGTCTTTAACGAAAGACATATGATAAAATCGATTATTCCAGTGTTACAAGTGCCGACTTGATCCCTTTGTAGAGACTGAAGTAATGTCTGATTTGAAGAAAAGTTTCAGCACATCTCGTCGGGGCCTTGCTTATCTAGCTCCAAAAGATGAATTAGGTAGGCACAACAAACCTGCTGAAATTATCTTCCAATCTATCCACTGGCACCAACCAGTTTTAACTAACACAGTTCAACACAACAGATCTCATATTTTGATATTGTTATTGTATCTATATGGCTGCACAATAGAATCCGTAAAGCGAGAATTGAAATAATAGTGAAATCAGCCTTTTAGCTGCCTAAATAGGGTCAATGTGCATTGGTGGTAGTTACGAGGTTAGCGCCAAAATTTCCGGGCCTGATATACATGCAGCTCCAGTATCACGATAATACTTTGATTTCTTTTAAATATGTATCTTAGTAGGCTGTGAAAAAAAAGTTGATGTCTTGCGTCAAACAGTTTTTTATGGACAGCATTATAAACAAGACGTGTCCGAAAAAATGTCGCAAATAACGCAAATTGAGTATAGAGCAGTCATAAAGTTTTTGACAAAAGAAGGGTTAGCACCTAAAATTATTAAAGAAAGGTTGGATGGTGTGTACGGACAAAGTTATCCTTCGTGTTCTGTAGTGCAAGAATGGGCAAAACGTTTTCGAATGGGGTAGGACTCCCTTGAAGATGATTCAAGAACTGGTCGACCAGTGGAGGTCATAATGGAAGATATTGTTGCGATTGTGGAAGAGGTGGTATTGAGTGATCGACGTTAAAGGTAAAGGAAATCTCAGAAATGACTAAGCTTTCTGATACAAGTGTTCGTCGAATCCTGCATGATCATTTAAGTATGCATAAGGTTAGTGCAAGATGGGTTCCTAAAATCCTTTTGGCTATTCAAAAACAACGCCGTGTCGAGTGTGCGCGGTCTTTTTTGGAACTCTGTGCGTCGGAACCGAAGCATGTGATAGAAACTATTGTGACGGGAGATGAAACTATGGTGTGACCAATGGGGTGACGTCGTAAGGGTAAGCACCTCCAATAAAATTCAGAGTCTGCCAGTCAACAAAAAAGGTGATGGCAATGATCTTTTGCAATTGTGAAGGAATTTTTTTGATAGATTTTAAAGAAACTAATACCGCTGTCAAAGGTAAATAAATTGAGAGACTGCATCCGTGTAAAACGTCGAGGAAAACTGACCAGAGGCGTGCGTCTTTTGCACGATAATGTACATGGCCATACTGCTGGTGTTGCACAAGCTGCTATTTTAGAGTGTGGGTTCCAACAGATAGATCATCCTCCCTATAGTCCTGATATGGCCCCCAGAGACTATTATTTGTTTAGATATTTGAAAAAGGACTTACGTGGACCGCGGTTTAACGTCGAAGTTGAGTTAAAAGAGTCTGTTTTACCTCATTTTGCAGACAAACCAAAAGAATATTTTTAATCAAAGGGATTGAGTTGTTAATAAAGAGATGTAATAAGTGTATTGAAGTTATAGGGGATTATATTAAAAAACAATAAAAAATTGTTAGTCTACTTTGTTTCTTTCATATTGAGGCCGGGAAATTTTGGCGCTGCCCTCGTACTATCGACAGTGCACTTCAGCGTTGTGTGCGAATTCGGCGAGATACTCAAAAAACTAGCAAAAGAGTAGACGAAAACCTTTAAGTTTTTATACCAAAAATACAAACTGCGGAACTAGTGCATTTTGAAATACCTATATACATGTTGTGTAGTCTGAAGTTGCTAAGCATTACTTGAAAATTGTTTAAATTAACCGTTCTTACGTTCTTATGTTAACTATTGTTATTCTTATTTTCAGCAGCTTCCTCAGCTTCAATTACCGGTTCGGTTTCGGCTCCCACTGGAGTCTCGTCGTCTTTACCATCTTCTCTGGGTAGTGCTTCGTTGAGGGAACTCTACGGGAATTCCTCTGTTGCTCCTGGGCATCCTCTAGCCTCACTAGTATCTCAGCAGCGGTTCCTGGAACTCTCGAGATTTGGCCTGAGACACTACGACCTTGCGCAGCATATGCTTACCCAACAGGGGGCTGTCACGAAGTTACTGGGTAAGTGATGTTATTGGTTTCAGTACAGGCCTTCATGAAGCTATACTATACCGATAAATTCGTCACACACTCTCAAAATTAGCGAATTACTCCTAGCACTAGTTTATGCTCTTTTCCTTCTGTCAAATAGACCTCTTTGACTGTATGTTTAACAATAATGAGCAACTTAGTTGCTTTAATGCCAAGAAAAAGAAAACCATACTTATTTGTTTGTTTGGAGGATGTAGGCAAAGAGTTGTTAAAACCATTTTTTGGACTTTTATTGAATTATGAATTAATTTCAATTTTAAATTACATCCGGTTGACGAGATTTTTATCCTTATTTTGACGTTGAAAGACAAACAATTAGTTTAATAGATAGTTCTTTATTTCAAAAATTGTTGCCCATGTTAACAATAAATAAACTAACGTCAAAGACCCGCAGTAGATCAACTACAACTTATTGCTAGAACAATAGTAATACTACATTATATTCTTAATATTACATAAGAATTATTTACATGTTTAGATAGTTGTGTAAGCTGTATGGCTCAAGTTTAATTAAGAGTTTTTTAATGTCCCTTTAAAATTTGCCAGCAATGTGTGGGATGGGTGTAATATTCCGTATATGATATAATAATATATAATATATGGCATTGAAACATGCGTAGAGCGTATACTGTCAAAAGTTCCATTTGTTTAAACACATTTCGTACGTTTGATTATATTCCATTTTTCTAATTACTTTGATTACCCATTTCTCAGTTATAAAACGATTTGTATTGAGTAGGTCCCATTCATTCATAAAATTTGTTAATCTTTTGCACATAGCAATTTCAGCAGACTTATTGGTCTATAGCTGTCCATTTTTCCGACGTCGCCCTTTTTGTATAACGGTTTAATTAAGGCTAATTGTTATTTTAGTTGAGAAAATGTTATTTCGAAATCAATTATTAATTAAAATTAAAATTAATAATACTTGTGGATATCTCATCCATCCCACTGCTATGTTTCTATTTGATATCTACTGCTAGTTCACAAATTTCTTCGGGTGTTACTGGATTTAGTATCATAGATTGGTTGTTGTATGGAATATTGCAGATATATGGTTCCGATTTTAAGTTTTTTAACATTTCTTTAATCACCCACAATAACAACTGATTACATTGGCTACTTTTCCGGCATTTCCCTCGAGATCTACTCCATTATTGTCATGTTTCAAACTTAATAGTTCATCATATTCCTTTTTTGTAGTGTTATAAGTATCCCTATATTGTACGCCACGATTACTCAATGTGAGTAATAAATTTAGCCGTTTCTTGCAATTTATAATTGATAGGGTAATCTTTTTTTTGGTTTAGTAAAACGTTTTTTTAGAGGAAAATATTGATCAAATAGCCTTATGTATGGTCCATGAAATTATCCCATCGATTATTTACATCATTTATGTCTAGCGAATATACATTTTGAAAATTTTCTCTCCCCAAATCGCACAGAAGAAAATTCTTTTGTACTCAAGGATTGTAGCCTTATTCAGATTAACCTCAGACTTAAAATTTTCTGTGATAATTGGTCTGAGATAAAATTTTCTACCACACTGGTACGAACAAAATCTGAATTCGTCAGTATGTCAATACAACTAGCACAGGTAGGTGTTATTTAGCTTAATGGTCGTCACAAGCTCAAAAGACGCCGCAATTGCTACGTATTCAGAGCCCGCTTTATTTTCTTTAAGGAGTTCTATGTTAAAATCTTCTACAACACATATATGTGTTTTTTTCTTTGAATATTTCTGATAACATCTTCTCCATTTTACCTAAAAATGTTTTTATGTCTCTCGATGACGGTCTGTATACCGTAACTACTAAAATATTCTTGTCACTTCACTAACATTCAATGGCCGCCTATTCAAACATTGTATATAGCGATAAACCACACAGTTTTATCCTTTGATTCCTAATTGTTGTTGTTGTTCATTATTGTATAGTTTACTCTATCAATGTCCAAATTAGCAGAAATTAAAACATTAAGCAAGATTTAAGTGTTTCGCTACATAAACATAAGTCATAATTTATTGTCTCTTTTTTAAAAACCATTTCGCAATTGTTGGTGGTGCTTGTAGGATCAAATTTTCTTAGACTTGATTACGCCAGGTTTTCTTAGCGATAACTTTTATCTCTTTTTCGATACTTGATGCGGATAAATTAGTTTTAATCTCATCATTCATTCATATTCCTGTTATCTTGAACATCTGAGTTATCACGGCAATTCCTTTGATTTAATATTATTTTTATTTTCTAGTGTTTTTTCAATTTACTTTGCTGTGTCATATTATTAGTCTCGACGACTATGGCTTTAATGGTTTTGAAGCCTCCTCCAGTGTCGGTTCCTGCAATTTTTATTTTCAACTGCTTTATTGTCTCCTTACTCCTTACCACTGTTTCAATTTTTGATGTTGTTTTATGATCATTGTTCACTGGTTTTTGTGCCACACATGCGTATGTTTTCTGGTACGTCATGTCTGTGCTTATGTGGGAGATTCCCTGTGTATGCTTTTTATTTGAAATCATTAGTGTCAAATTTTTATATATTGTAGCATTTCTGGTTATGTCTATATCCTGCAGAGCATTACTATTATTGGACTCTGGGTAAGCTACTTTGTTTATGTGTCATTAAATCTTCAACGTAGCTTCAAATATAATCCCAATTACTTTTCAAAAATGCGTTTTCTTTGCCGCTTCCCTGGTAGGTGCCTGCACATCCGTCTCCGGTGCTGTACTTAGACCTGTTGTTACAGTTTTCTTCTTACGGTGACATATTATTCCGCGGTCTCTTGTTGGAATTGTCTTCTCCCAAATTTTTACTAATTAACATTTCCAGATATTGTGCACTGTCTCCAGGAGGAGACCGCGCTATAGAATTTCGAGCTTTGAACACTAAGTCAGAGTCCTCAACCTCCAAATTGAATTTTCTCAGGCCCCCTGGCAATTGTGTCGAGTTTGTAGTGTTCGATTGTCTTTATTTTTTGAGGCGTTTTTGTTTGAATACATTTTTATCTGACTCGATGATGCTTTTTTGTCGTTTCCAGAAAAGATTTCGTTTATCTTCGATTGTGACCTCGTTTTTCGTAAAAATCCTTCAGTAGGATTTGTAAGGTTTTCGTTGATAGTCCGTTGATAGTCCTTAAACATAGACCGACACGACGCACAACTACAATTCACCGCAGTTCTACGCCTTTAATACTTATTTGGCTCTAAAAAAGGGAGAGGTTAATTTTTAATACTTTGTCGTAATTTTCATGAAAGCTCGGCAAACTCGAAAATGTATCAAAAATCGACCGACATTTTTTTCCTACTTAATAGGTTCGACCATTCACCACCATATTGGAGGATAAAATTTTGAGTTCGTTTAAAGGTATTTAGTTTCTAACTTGCCTCTTTTAACAGTAATCAAAAAATTATCTTACAAATTTGTATTATTATTCCAAATCGTACAGTGCTACTAGGCAGATGCCGATTCATATATGGACAGAAAGGTTAAAACAGGTTGAAACGGGTATCAATGTTTGAACGACAACCGGTGCTCTGCAGAATTAACCAGCAAGATTTTAAGACTTTAAATATAGTTAGTACTAACTAAACTTTTAATTTATTGACATTTGTTTAACGAAAAACACGTATTTTTACTTACTGTTTCCAACTACGAGCGGAATTATATTTGCCCCTGTTTCTAACCTTTCACTTACATATTTCCTTCCTTTTCGCCGACTTGTGTTGTCTATGTTTAAATAGTCCGGGAAACAGATCAGTATTATTCCTGAATCTTTTTTTTTTTGCGGTAAAAATCGATTTTAGTTTTTCCATTGTAATAGATTTCTGTTATCATATTTTGAATTGTTTTGGTATTATATTTGGGTCGACGCACACAGGCGAATTTGATCAAAATGCTGGCCAATATTATGTACCTTAAAAAAATATCTAAAAATGATGAATAACGAATTTATTTAAGAAAAGTATAAATTTTAATGATAATACAGTACTTGACACTATTATTCCGTTACACGTAAAAATATAATAAAAAATAAATAAAAAATATACAGTGCGGTTAGAATGACGTTAGAACATTTTTAATTTAGTTTCTTACTTGTTCACATTTTTACGTAATTCATTTATTTTTCAGTGACAGTTATTAAAACATTTTTGAACAACACCAACAATGTGTATTATTGAAGAAAAACATAAAACAGTTCTAATTGTAACCTTGAATTGTGATAATGTATATGTAATTACAAAAGTAATATTACAAAAAGATAATCATAAATATTTTAGAGAAAAGGGGTAAAAACGAAGATGAGATATTGATATTTGAGTACTTTGAGTATTAAGAATTCCGCAAGTATAATCTTATTATTTAGGGCAATAAACAAGCAGAACTTTTTATGACAAGTGTTTTTATGGACTATTGAAATTTGTACAGTTGCGTCTATGAAAATCTAGTACAAAAACATATCTCATAATTCCTGGTCTATTATAAAAAAAAATCTGATTAGATACCTAATAACTTTCTGTGTCACAAATTGTTAAAATGACACAGGGCAAACACAGGTTTTAGACTGTCATGTATGCTATATGTCATCCATTAGTCAAAAAACACTTAATAGTCTAGGATATAAATATTTCTTCTCAAGAAGCTGTAAACCTGGCAATATTGCCATTAGCATTTTTGAATTTTGCATGTTCAAAAACCCTACAATAGTAAATTTTACCAAAATTAAAAATATATATCGGCACTGACAGCACTTCTTAAAAAATGGATACCCATTAGGATAGCAAATTATCGCATAAATAAGAAAATATGTCCTTTTAAGGACATATTAAATAAGACTTCTATGCTAATTTGAAGATGGGGAAACGTGGGGAAATGTACTTTTTGTCCAAAGAAAACGAAACATTTATGTATTTTAAGAAGGGACGCCATTGTGACATTAAAACAATTCATAGATGATAATAATTGCATACATA